TGGGACAGTGTGCTACATACTCCACTGCCATTTGGAGGGGATGCTGGCGACAGCAGAGACGCGCGCAGCAGGGGCCTGGAGAACAGCGTTGGAGTACGACTTGACGTGGAGGTTACCGCCAGCCCAGGACCAGGTGGAAGACCACTTGGCGAGGTTGTTGGTGATGCCATCGACCAGGGTGCACTGAGAGCCGCTGGTGGCCTGGTCCCGTCCCCAGAGGTTGTTGTAGATGATGTAAGATCCGACCTTGATGTTGTCCCACTGTCCGCAGAGGTTCGTCGCGCGCTTGTCGATGGACTGAGTCTTGGTGGGCTCAACGGCAGGGGCGGCGGCGACCAGCGCCGCCATCGAAGTAAGGACTGTGATGAACTTCATTTTTGGATTGGTGGTAGTAAACGAACTAATGAATGAATGACTGAACGAAGGAATGGATAATGGGTAGAAATGAGATCAAAGTACGTACAGACGGCATCGTGGCGCCGAATGGGTGGCCAAGTCGTACTTATACAGCCCATCTGAATCTCTGATGGGATCGTGACCAGGTTGGGTAGCCTCCCAAAATGGCATCGTGGTGTCGGATAGATGGACGATTACGGTAAGCCTCTGCGGGGTTATCGACTTGTCATGTCATTCCGTTCAGGCGGCTGCCCCTTTCATTTCAATTTTGCATTGGTGGGTTCAACTCGTTCCCCGGGTTGTGTTCACTGGTGCTACCTACACGATCGATACAGTTCTTTTAAAGCCAATCAAGTCTGTCGGCATGCAACCCTTTGATCTGCTGTGATGATGAGCTTGGTGAAGGCCTTTTGGATCAGGCACCAGATCGTTGATGCCATTGGGTTACATCGTTTGTTTCCTCAGCAAAGTCTCTAGGACCTCGAGGCTAGAGCGAGGATGGCCGACGGCCATGCCGCGTTCTGTGTGCATTTCTAGACTGGGAGATCCCTGTCCTCGTGGAAGCTTTGCCAGGGTCTCTGAGGTGGATTTGTCGGCTTGGATCCCGAACCATCTTTCGTCAACACGAGATGAACCAACGGCGATTGACGATTACCTGGTCCGAGATCTTTGACACTCTGATCCGACACGTCGCATGTGATGGTAGCTGATGGTCTCGCTGATTGCTATTTCTCGTGATGATGCCTCTCCTCCCCCAGGTCCTCGATGGGCCATGACTAGCAATGCATGTATCGAGAAGAGGCGCGGTTTAGATCATCTCCGAAAGCTCCGCTCCACAACCCAAGGTGATTATGCCACGGGGCACTGGCGAATGCGGACGTCAATCCCGGAATCTGGTGCCCTGCAAGCCTGACTTCTTTGGGCACGCAGCTGTCGGTGCCGGTGTGCCGGGTCACTGTGCTCAGACCTTACGGCCGAAATGGATGGTCTGGCCAGCGCAGGGCTGCTTTATTTCAGACAACCTGCTCTACTGGCGCATCTTGCTCGCCCCCACTAGGATACTCCGGGCGACGCTGCCTCTCCCTCCGATCGAGCTCACGACGGGCAAACGCGCGGCAGCTGCAACTGTGAAGTTTGCGGCGCTGGTTGAGGTCCTTAAACGAATCAGTCGTCAGGGCATGGTGTCGATGGACTCTTTGCCCTTGGGTTTCTCCTGTTGTGTCCTCGCTTTTCAGAGAGAATAGGGCCTAAAGCGGACTTCTACAATGCTTCCCTGCGGCTGGACTTGGACTTGACGCAGGTTACCAGCAAGTCCGCACGCCAGAGTGCTCGCGCACCTTGGTTTCATAAACCATCCATCTCAACTTGTATCAGGATCGGAAGCCAGGACCAGAAATCACTTCAACAGGCGCTGCCAACACTATGCTGTGCACACAGGATGCTGGTTTGATTGTTAGCCGTGGGAGCTATACAAGAGCATTGTGCAAGAGGAAGACATAATGAACGAGAGAAAATAAAGTATTGGAAGAGGGAGTGTGGGTATGCTTTGCGGATATCGTAGTTCTCTAGTATGACCTCGCAAAGACAGCAACACGGAGCTTGTGATAAAAACTGCCAGTGGCCTGCCACGAGAACCAAAGCTCGACGGCTGGTCACGCATTCCAATTGAGTTTGAGGAGCTTGAGCTGCCACATCACACTACTTGCAGCCGTGACCATCTATCTCTGCTCGCACCTTTAAGGACGAATTAAGCATACTGGCATGTTCTGCAGATGACGAGGACGACCCACAGGTACCTCTGCATTATTGAGGCTGGAATCACAGCAACAAGCCAGACCAAGCAACGACCAATGCCGGGCTTTTCAACGCCAGATACTCCAACAAAATCTCTCCCAATAACAATCGAAATAAGCCTGCACAGACAGGGGCATGTCAGCGTCAAGGTCCCTGTGGCGCCTGTCTTTGGCGATCAATCCCCTTAGTGCAGTCCGGAAGGGGCAGGTACGCGGCTGAGAGCAGAGGAGGGGAGGAGGGAGACACGGGCGGCTGTTGGATGTGCGGGGTTGATTGATGTGCGCTCAGTGATGCGATGCGATGTGCTAACTCCCAACAGCGTGACATCATGCGCCTGCACGTTTCCTACCTAGGGACTAGACAACCTCACCTTGATTAACAAGGATTCGTTAATGGCGCAGCGCCCCTCAATTGCAACCCTATGCCGCACAACAGAGAGCGGCCAGACTCACTTCAAATCAACTCCTTCCAGATCCCAACCCCTAATGCGCGGCATCTCGTTCATGACCATGGCAACTCTTGCCCTGGCTCACCTCTCCCTGGCTCGTCTCGCCAACCAAAAGGTCATTGCATCCGACAACGATGACATGACCGAGGTTCACGAAGCGTATGGCCTTTTTGTCCCCCCCAGCCCCCCCCCCCCCTCTTCGCACGCCGAAGGACATCACTGACTAGTCCTAGCCTCTTCCAAGCCGGCATCATCCCCAACGTCATTTCCGAGTTCCAGCCCGTCCTCGGTCTCTCTGCCTCTTGGTCCAAAGACGCAACTGCGTCGCTCGGCAACAGCCTCGACCCTTCGGCGCTCTCTTCGCCCCCATCGGTTCATCTCGAAAAAGCCGGTTCCGCATCCAACCTCGAGGCAGACAAGTCCTACGTCCTCACCCTCACGGACCCGGACGCCCCATCGCGCGGCGATCCCAAATGGGGCGAGTTCTGCCACTGGATCGCCACGGGACTCTCCATCTCCGCCTCGGCGAGCAAGCTCGAGGACGTGCTGGAGTACAAACCCCCCGCGCCGCCGGAGAAGACGGGGCCCCATCGCTACATTTTGATCGCCTTTGTGCCCGCCAACGGGACCACCGAGCCCCTGAACCTCTCGAAGCCGGGTGATCGGAAACACTGGGGGGCCAGCGCGCCGGGGCACGGCGTCAAGGATTGGGCGCATGCCAATGGGCTCGTGCCGATCGGTGAGTGGCTTTTGCCGCTGGATTTTGGGGGGCTTTACTGACCTTGGTAGCTGCGAATTTCTTCTACGCTCAGAACAAGAAGCAGTAATGACGGGCAATGATTCCGTGGAAGAAAGGACCAGTCACAATGCCGCCTGCTGTGGTGTTACATCGCTTGATTGACGGCGTGAAGCAGGCAAACGAAATGGCAAGGAAACTACCTGGGTAAATGGACTCCTCGAAACGACAGCGGCCTGGTTGCGGTTAGTGTCTTGATGCCACCAAACCCTGAGAGACGCCACATATCTCAAGGTTGCATGTAATTTTTTCCCCTGCAAATGTGCGCACTTTGATTCCAATGTCGTGGTAGGGTTGACGAGGCATCAATCATGACACACTGATGGCCGTCACCCTGCAGTACCATAGACTGTAACCATGTAAGCGCAGAAGATCGTCAAACGAGAGAATTTCAAATAGCATTTATAACGCGGCCACCTACGTTGGCCATTATTAAACTGATAGTGCTACAGTGTTTGAAGTTTTTCTAACAGACGGCTAAACCTTCCGTCGCCTTTGTCAAGTTCTTCTATACTCCATTCCGGATATTTCATTTCATACTTTCAAGGAATCCATTTAAAAGTCACCTTTTCATATCCTCCACCAAATCACCGTTCTTGCCTGTAGTCCGACAGGCTGCCGGCTCCAGCTTCCGTCTTTTCGCCGGGGAAGTCTCTCTTTTTGGGACAGGATCGCCGTCTTCCGTAGGCTCCGGCTTGCTGTCGTCGGTGCCATTTGATGACGACTCGGGGCGACCATCAGCAAGTGGCTTCCTCTTTGCACCCACTCCGGACGTCGTGACCGGCTTGGGACGACTGGAAGGGAGAGGCGTCCGCTTAAGGCCGCTCTTTTTGTCGTGAGGTGCATCCGGTCGAGAATCTGATGCTAATATCACTGCCGGCTGTTGTTCGATAGGTGCTGATTGATATCGAGCTATTTCTTGATCGATTCGCTCCTGGACTTCTTCCGGAACGGAGTCGCTCGGTGCAACGCCCATGGCGCCCATGGCGTTCCTGGCGGGCGTCTCGACTGTCTCCTCGCGTCCTGCAGGTGCCCTGCGCCTTGGCAGCTCCTGGGATGCCGGAGCGTGGACAGTTCCGTCCGGGCACAGCGGCTCAGCTGCGTCCTGGACAAAAGAGCAGCCCTCCTTGTGAAGAGTGCACTTGGCGCAAGCCGAATTCAGCCTTTCTGGATCTATATAGCAGTCGCAGCCTCTCCTCTTCTTGGCGCAGTTTGCGCATTTCCGTTTCGCAAGGCACTCGAGGGCTACGATGCGGTCGTACTTGGCCCGTGCCGACTCAGTTTTGGCGCAGGGTTTCTTGCCCATTGGAGATTCCTGCGCCTTGGCGGGCTGCTTGCTCCCGCTTACCTTGCTCTTCTTCGTTGTCTTTACGACCTCGTCCTCTGCGAGACCGGCGTCGTCCGGTGCGTTCTCTGTGGCGGCCGGGGTCCTGTCATCGGCGTCTGGCGGGGGCACTGGTGGTTCCAGGCCCTCTTCGACGGAACTTGGTAGCGGAGGGATGTGAGATGCTTCTTGGTCGTTGGTCTTGATGTTGGTGGCGGTATCTTGTGGGCGATAACACAATGCCATAAATACCAGAGCCTGTGCTGCAGTGAGTTCCAACTCACTGTACCTGGACTGTTGGTTTTCCTGAGGGATGGTGGTATTTGATTCTGCCATGATGTGAGATGAAAGAGACAGAATCTGGGTGACTATAACGGCAGAGAAGGTCGAGATGGGATGAAAAAGAATCGCCTGCGTGCTATGTTCGAGAGCAATTGGAGAATAATAAGAGGAAAGAGAAGGATGAAACGTTGATGATCGCTACAGGATGATATTCGATGATAATATTGGATCTGGAATCGGTGCTGCGAATTCGAAGGAAGAGTTGGAAGGGCAATTGGGAGACTGGAAAGGACAGCCATTAGAGCCATGGGCGGAAAGCTCTTTATGGTAGACGATCATGCTGTCGGAGAAAGATGAATGGTAAAGTTGGATATCCAAAAAAAAAATGCGGACATCAAGCTCCAAAATCGATGAAACTAAGGTTCCAAGGTAGAAAGTCCAGTGAGGAGTGCTCTGTGCAGGCTGGTCATCTTCAGGGAGGAGTTTGGTTGTGTTTGGAAGAGACTTGTCCTCAGGCATGTTCGACCTGAAATCGCCAAAGAACACGAAATACAACATTTGATGTCTGCAGGAAGTCACGAAGTCACAGTGGCAAGTGTGACTCCGTAGATTAATACTGCTTGCTAATGAGATTCCGATTCTACGATTAGTCTTTCCATCGGGATGAGGAGTAGACTTGAAAACCTGTGGATTGTAAGAATAAACTCCTGGGAGAGAGCGAACATGATGGTAAACTCAAGCCTCACAGAGAGGAGTAGACGCAATGTACCTTATCCTGACCACTATATTAGGTAACTAGATAGAAAGAGGCACATCCGCTTCACTCAGTTTTCTGGTGGACCGAATCGTAGCCAAAAATAGTTTGCACCAGATGGCGTGGGGTATTCCCTTCAGTAAGGTAAAGTAGGCATGTTGAGTAGTCGCCCTACCCTTCTGTATTTGAAGAGAAGGAAGGCTCCATGGCGTGATGGAAGCAGGCACTGTCAAATGGCCGCTCTTGAACGGGTAGTCACGTACAACCCACAGATGATAGGCCTTGCCTTGCCCTGACGATGACTTGAGCTCCCCGTGCTTTGAGCGTCATAAATACACAACCAAGTGTCTAGAGGTCCTATTGAATATGTCCGACGCAGTTTGCCAAGCATTCCTTTCAAGAGCACTCGTCGCTTCAGAAGCAAGATTACGTGGGCAGGAACGACAGAAGATCCCAGTAATGTGTGGACGCAGTACACGTGCGGAAGTAATAGCAGACCTCCGATTTCAACCTACCTACTGCACGCAGAGGCACTCCTACTCAATGTTTGCTCCCTTATTCGCTCGTCTCCCTGCTCTGCTCGTTGTCGAAACAGCAGGCGAAGCTTTCCGGAGAGAGATCCATCAGAGACAATGACGAGCCTCCGAGGCTGCGCCTACCGCTGGCAACATGGGCAGCGAGTTGCATCGGCCGCGAAGCAGGCAATGCCACACAATCAAAGCAGCCTAGGACAGAATCACTCCGTCCTCCGGGGTAAGCCTACGAAGACACAGAAGACATCGGTGGCGTTGTTCTTAGCAATGGCGTCTACCTACACAACTGACGAGCTGCTCCTTGTTAATATCGACATCCAAATTCGAGACCACGGCGACGTTCGTGTCACACAATGCACGCTGATGCGGCGCCCTACCCACGTCCGAAGCCTTTCGACTTTCCAGTCGATCCTTCGGTTCCCCGATGACTGAAGCGGAAATTTCGGAGCCGTCCCTCGTCACGGCAACCCGATCGGAACATTCTGACCGGCGGTCGGTTGGCTCTGGCCAGAAAAAGCTACAACGTCCTGCACCTCAAGGTTGCATCGTGCCATTTTGTCCGTGGGGGCTGGGTCGAGGCCCACAGTGTTTTGAGTTATGCAGGCAGACAGAAGGGGCTGACAGGCTTGAAGAGTTTCGTCTGCTTTGCTTGAGCACCTTCAATGCCAGACGCCAGACGCTGCTCCCATCAGATTTTCACAGTGGCAGACGTTTGAGCACCCGCCGTGTGGCAAGGCGGTCGACGCATACTTTGATCATGACAACAAACCTGCATGGCACGCTGCCCCGTTGTTGGTCCCAGTTGGGACGCCCAATACCAAGACGGAAAGATCCGCCCAGCGTCGACCGGCACTGGGGAGCTTAGCTCCGATGGCGTCCCCGGATGCCATCTTGGGCAGAAGGGAGGACTCACGGCCTCTGCGATATGAGTTGGCTCCCTTTTCTTTGCCACGCACTCCAAATGGTTGGGTGGCCAGAATGGTCGGAACCAACAACCCTGGTTCCCCGGCGCACCTCGCTATTGTTGGTGAGCTGCAGAGACGCTATCAGGTTGTATGTCACGCTTCTGTCGATGCAGCCCCTTTGTGCGAGTGAAAACATGCGACATGGCAGGTCACGACCACTCTCTTGAAGTCAGGCGCCGCTCTCGTGCGTCGCTTTAGGCACACACTCACCCAGTCTGGTGCATGAAGGCGCCTGCATCGCGCCGGAACCCAGAAGCCTCGTCTCCGGCGTGCATCTCCCGACCCACAGCATTGGGAGCTGGGACGCACCAGTCGTGCCACTTTCCCTCCTCGGGTCAACCTGGTAGAGAGGTCGCTTAACGAGTGAACAAAGGCAACAGCTGGGCGTTGTCTTACGAGAGCCGGCAAAGACAAGACCGAGTGGTGTGTCGACAACAACCCCTCTGCGAAAACACCACCACATGAACAATTTCGCTTGTGATCTGGTCATGCTATTTCTGCTGCCATCTGGCCGAGGCGAATAACGGAGAAGCAACACTGCACAGTTCCCTGCAGCGTGCATCGCATTCTAGTCTATGGAGCACAAGCATTCATCACAATGCAGCTATCTGTGTACACTCATAGAGCACCAACTGCCCTTGCCTGAACCTCGGGCGGTGTGGAACAGGCAGTAGGGGTCTCTCTCTACAACCCAAGTAGGTTTTCTTCTAGTTTCTTTTAACCTTTTTGTGCCTGAAGGTAGATCTGCCGTACCGTCCAGATTTCGACATTTCTACGTGCTCTTGACTCGCGCAACAACGGGCCCGGGTACCCGGGTCGCCTGCTGAGGTCCAAGTTAGCGTTGAGTGGTTGAGACGGTGCCCTGGGGGAGGCGGTGAACGGACAGCGGGAGGCACGATCGACGTCGTGTTTGGGCCCTTTAGGTCGCCGAACCACGGGTCAGTGAACCCCACCACTCGATCCAAGTTGATGACAGGATCGCCGCATGCCAGATGAATCAAGCTCGACTTGGAGCGGGGGGCGTCCGTGACCACGATGCGGGCGAGTATATTCCCTCATGAAATGGGAGGGCTCCGAGCATGCCCCCGAAACTGTTGCTACCTCGTATGGCTCTGGAGTGTGCCTGGACCGCTCGATTCCAGAACCAGGCAGCACAACCACGCATCGCATCGATCACTTTGGCTTGGTCTTTTCAGGTTGAATAGACAGCGCAGAGCCATGGAACCGTGCAGGCGAGAGGAGGAGTCAAAAGCAGGGGGGCAGAGCGCGCGACCTGGGTCGGGACCTCATCACCGACGACGAGGGCATGGGACGGCGGTTGGTGCGTTGCGTGCAGATGAGGTGCATCAGCGCGGCAGACGATGCAACCCTTATCAGTTGCCTAACAACTAGCTTGTGGCCACCATGCAGCACATCGCCCCAAGCTGGAAGGTCAGCGAAACGCCCTGATTGTCCGCCTTGATGAGACAGACATGTGTCCTGTTGTGTCATCGTCGACAACGGCTCGAGTCAGAGCTGATCCCGCTCGCAATGTTGGAATCAATAATTTTATTGCGTCTTCGCGTCTGCAGCATCAGCATCAGATGAGGACTCGCAGGATAGACTGCGGGCGCACTCTTCATTCGAGGACCCGTAGATTGGGAGAAAACATGAGCCCAGGTTCGGTAAGCAAGCGAGCGAGCGAGTCCAACAGTTGGGTCCCATGTGCATTCACAAACAGAGCGGGACCTGGTCATGTTAGAAGGGTGCCCGCGTACGGCGTCCGAGGTACATGAGGGTGGGATGGGGCTCGCTTGCTGCTGCTGGCGGCACATCCATCATGTCAAATGTCACCACCCGCCCCGTGCGGGACACGATGGCCAACTGACGGGTACAAGTCTGAGATCGACTTGACAAGAAAGGGCGACACGGCACCGTACCACGCTGGTTGTATGAAGAAACAGTCATTGGTGATTGCCCGTCAGTAGCATAAAGCCTTAGCGTTGGGCGCTGATCAAGTTGGGTACCTCAGACCAAGGGCTCTACATGTACCCCGACAAGCCACAGCATCGGCCAGCCGCTCTGAGCATCTTCGGTTCACACACTAACAGATGTACGATCAGCGGCTTGCCAGTCGTGCAAGCTCCTGCTCCGCGACTGGGCCCCCCCTGTGTCGTGCCAAACCGCTGGAAATCCCGGGGCGACCCGGTAGGCTATGGCGGGAGAGCTCTCAAGGACAGGCCGGGCGTCTTGGAGCCTTGGGCCTGACCCCGGAAACCCCTGTTGCCGCCCCCTTTTCCGAGTGGGATGGCCCGGAAACCAAAGCAAAAGCAAACCCCCACCACATGGCTCCACTGGCGCTGGCCAAAGGCTCCCCATTGTGATGCGATGCAAAGCGAGCGCCCCCTCGTTACCTCACCCCATGATTGTGGTAGTGTTGTGCCAGCGCCTTCGCCGCTCTCCACGGCACAAAAGAAGAAAGAGACCAGCAGGGTTCTTGACTGCGGCACAAGCGGAAATTGACCGGAATCGAGACGTCTGGTATGTAGGAGACTGTGCAAATAGCTGTTTTGCTACAATTTTTTGCAAGAGAGCATTTTGGGGGGCTGTCAACCCCTTCAACCGGTCAGCATCCCATCAGGAAAGATACCTCACTGAGGTGGCGCGAATTGTCTCGGTTTGTATTACAGCCTGCGGCAAAAGAAACGCCCTTTATTCGGAGCAGGGCAGGACACCTTCAAACCACTTACTTGAATTGCCGTCCCTCCCAGAAACAGCACCGTGCGGCCGGGCCGCCCTCTAGCAGAATGGAACTGTTCTAGTACTCCACGCGGGCGCAGTTGCGCCGTCGGCGGCATTCTTGTCTCCTTGTCCAGCCTTCTGGTTTAGCCCCCCCCCCCCGAGACTCGTCTGAGATCCGTTGACATGGTCGCGGCATGGCTCCCTTAAGCCATCATGCAGCTTTGTCCGAAACGGTCGAGCTATCATTTCTCGGATCCTGCAGCTCATCGACCCCCGCCTTGTCGGTCGCCCGCTGGGGCTCGCGGCCATATTGCCTGCTTCCTGTGGTTCGCTGGCTGATCTCTTCACCGTAGCAGCCCTAGGCCAAGCCACGTCTGCCAACACATCATCAATTCCTCCCTCGTTCCGGGGAGGGGACCTTTTCTTGTCCCAATCAAGACGCCGCCTGAGCGCCCTCGTTCCTCTCGCTCGGGTCCCCAACAAGTGTCTCTGACCCGACAGTTCGTCCGCAGGAATCGCTACCCTCGAGACATGCACATCTTACGGCGCGCTTGTGCTGGACAGCCCCCTTAGCCCACTGCCAAAAAGCCTGTGCAACAAGGGCTTAAGCCATGTTGGCCAGGGTCTCTTTACGCTACGGCCTAAGGCGGGCAAGGCTCAGGCAACGCTGCTGCAATAACCCGTGGAGGCCTACACTCTGAAGTGACGCTAGAAAGGAGCGCGCCTTTCGGGCCCAAGCAACGCCCACGTAGGCGACCAGGATATATGAAGCGGAAAGCGTCCGGGAAGGCCGGCCTGCCGCCCGTAGCTGATCGTTGAGGAGATCTCGTAC